TAGATGGTGGTTAGCAAATGGCCATCAGCTCCATCTGACTGGAGGGCCTCTGGTGGGGCTACTCATGGTGGGGTAGCCCCTATAAAATACCACAATGTTGCAACCTTCAGAATAGGGCAAGTATAGAGTGCCTCAAAACCCTAACCCCCACTCCTTGTAGTAAAGCTAAGGGACATCACTGTGACAGAAACACACCTTTGCTGAGATGTTAGGCAGTCAGCAGGAGCTCTAATCTGGTGCTCCCTGAGAGAAGCTACAACCATCAAGGCACTGAACATATGAACTCAGTCTGGCCTTTGGACTCTGTCTCAATGGTCTAAAAGGGGGATGGTAGGTCGAGGGTGGCCTCCACTCCTCCATACTCTTGCCTAGGAGTGCATGTCAAAGGTCTTGTGATGGTCACAGGACTCTGTACGGGGCATAAAGAACTGGGAGCAGCTACCAAGGTGTCTAAGCAGTTCTATTCAGGGGTGGCTTGCTTGCCTTTCTTGAGGAAGGCCCTAGAAAAGGTGGGCTCAAAACAGCAATGCCCCAACCCAATCTATCTTGGTCAAAATAAAATAAGGGACTTGTGTATTGGAATGTCCAGACTCTGACCCCTGGATTGAATTCAGACTTATGGATAACAGCATTACAAAACTACGAGTTGGTTAGACCAAGAATCAATATTACTGCATCATCAGAAACTTGGCTCTCAGATATGGGTTCTAGCACAGAGAATGATTACACCATCATCTGGCATGGGAAACCAGTAGAAGAAAAGAGAGAGCAGGGAGTAGGCTTTGCTGTTAGAAACAGCTTACCGTGTTCCTATGAAAGCCCCGTTGCTGTATCTATTCAACTCATGATGCTCAGAGTGCACACACAGAATGGCTTCATCAATGCATTTGTCCCAAAATTTCCCTAGGACAATTTCACAACTCAGTGACCTGGTACAAGTTGGGACAATAGTATCAACAACCAACAAGTGAACCCCTGACCATGAGGCGCATGCCACCCTTCCTCAGCTCCCCGCAAGGTGTGGCACCTATAACACAGGGAGTCTAGTCTGGCCTAGATGGTGGTTAGCAAATGGCCATCAGCTCCATCTGACTGGAGGGCCTCTGGTGGGGCTACTCATGGTGGGGTAGCCCCTATAAAATACCACAATGTTGCAACCTTCAGAATAGGGCAAGTATAGAGTGCCTCAAAACCCTAACCCCCACTCCTTGTAGTAAAGCTAAGGGACATCACTGTGACAGAAACACACCTTTGCTGAGATGTTAGGCAGTCAGCAGGAGCTCTAATCTGGTGCTCCCTGAGAGAAGCTACAACCATCAAGGCACTGAACATATGAACTCAGTCTGGCCTTTGGACTCTGTCTCAATGGTCTAAAAGGGGGATGGTAGGTCGAGGGTGGCCTCCACTCCTCCATACTCTTGCCTAGGAGTGCATGTCAAAGGTCTTGTGATGGTCACAGGACTCTGTACGGGGCATAAAGAACTGGGAGCAGCTACCAAGGTGTCTAAGCAGTTCTATTCAGGGGTGGCTTGCTTGCCTTTCTTGAGGAAGGCCCTAGAAAAGGTGGGCTCAAAACAGCAATGCCCCAACCCAATCTATCTTGGTCAAAATAAAATAAGGGACTTGTGTATTGGAATGTCCAGACTCTGACCCCTGGATTGAATTCAGACTTATGGATAACAGCATTACAAAACTACGAGTTGGTTAGACCAAGAATCAATATTACTGCATCATCAGAAACTTGGCTCTCAGATATGGGTTCTAGCACAGAGAATGATTACACCATCATCTGGCATGGGAAACCAGTAGAAGAAAAGAGAGAGCAGGGAGTAGGCTTTGCTGTTAGAAACAGCTTACCGTGTTCCTATGAAAGCCCCGTTGCTGTATCTATTCAACTCATGATGCTCAGAGTGCACACACAGAATGGCTTCATCACGTTTAGTGTTTATGCACCCACCCTTCAAGCCAGTGATGAAAATTAGAACATTTTCTATCAACAACTTGAAGAAGACATTGTGAAAATTGACAGAAATTAGACCATTATAATACTCGGTGACTTCAATGCAAGAGTTGGATATAGTTTTGAGAATTGGCCTGGTATTCTGGGCAAACACAGAATTGGTAGTATGAATGAAAATGGCCAGTGAGTGTTAGGACTCTGTGCAACTCCAAATCTATGCATTACCAACACCTACTTTAATGGGAAAAACCACAACAAAGGCATAATGGAAACATCCAATATCAGGGCACTGGCACCAATGAGATCTAGTACTGACCAGGTCCAACCACCTGAAAGAAATCCTGTGTATGAGGTCTTATCACAGTGCTGACTGTGACACTAACTGTGCCTTAGTCTGATTCAAAGTTAGTATCAATGCCAGTGACTGCCCAGATATAAGTCTATCTTTCCACTGGAAATGATATCCAGGGGGAAAAGCAGCAGCTGAGATAGAAAGATGAAAGATCTGAGATAGAAAGGTAGGATGCAAAAATTCAAGGACACATGGGCAGTAAAAGATTTCAGGAAAAAGATAAAGGCAGTAAAATAAAATAGCTAATTCTAGCCTCACAGGTAGAGGCATAGGAAGGGATTTAATAAACATATCAGGGAGGAAAAAGCAGTTTCATGAGACAAAGCACTGTGCTGGGACTTGGGAGATCTGAGTCCTATTTCAGAATCTGCTACTGGCCTTCATGTGAACCTTGGCAAGTCATGGTTCTCTTTTTTGCCTCAGCTTCAGTACGTGTATCATGAAGACAGAGATGCTTCCTTCCTATGTAAAGCACTACATAAGAGCTAGGTATTAATGACAACAGCCATGGCTGAGTATGGAAATGAATGAATGTCTCAAAAGTAGTTGAAATAGGATCAACAGCTTTGCTCATATGCTTAATGTTAGGCCCTTGCTTAATTATCTTGCTGGATTGAAGACTTTGGCACAACTGTACTATGCCTGGCTCTAGCTCTATGCTATCCCATTAACATCGGGATTTTGAAAACAACCATCTGAAAAGCAATGAAAATGCTAAAAATGACTTCTGCAGCTGCCACGTGGTTAGTTTCTACTTGTTCAGCTAACGTTAGCTATGTTATTACTTGGAGATAAAACACAATTTTTTTTGTAAATTAGATTAGACCGTATTTTCACAACATCCTTGATTCTCTAATGGATTTCCTCAGATTTGCTGAAAATGACAGTCTTTGTCCTATCAGCCAGAACTCTGTGTGTTATTTGCAACATTTGGCTGGGTGTTTTTATACAGCATCTTCTCCTGAAAGCATCACAAAATGCCCTGGCATGAGAACGTGAGTGTTAACTGCTACATGAAAATTAGAAGACTTCTAAGGTGAGGGCTTCAGAGAGGAAGTGACTCAGACACACAGGAGGAGAAAAAGGTCTCCAAAGACTTGCCTTATTTCAGCACTGACACACTGTTAAGCTAACATAGGCTTTGGCCCGAGATGTTTTCAAAGGTCACAGTTTATTAATTCAACCCAAGGACAGGCACAGTCTTGCAGCCTGTTCACCTCTTATTTATAAAAGAATAAAAGTAATAAAACCAGAGATTACGAAAATTCCCTTTCCTTTCATATTTGAAAACAAAAATTATATAACTAAACCCTGACAGCAAACCAAAGCCTTTCTTGATTTGCGACCTGGAGAATAAGATGAAAGGAGATATTTTCCCCCCAACCCTGGATTGAAAACAATTCAATCAACTCTATTCTAGTCAAACAATTACAGATATAAAAAATGACAGACCCCCCAAAGCATTGTTTTAAGAAAAACAAGCATATTAGAAATAAATGCTCCATTCCCCCAGCTCCAGGGGCTAGCCAGCCCTTCTGACCTCACTGCCAGCCTGCCATGATCATGGTTATGATTATGATCCATATGGCAGTCGTGCTACAACAACCAGGCTGAGATCACTGGCTGTTGAACCATATGTATGATACTGGATGCCTTATATCTTAGCCTGAGAAGCTTGCACTCTACATCAGTGATGCTTGACGAAGTTGCCACAAAATCCTTTTAGGGGTGCCACATGATAGTAACACCATTACATGTTCAAACACCTACACGTGAATCAGACAGGCCCCAAGATTTCAAATATCAAACTATTCTGACCTGTCATGGTCTAAGTTTTCTGTAACCGAAGATTTGCTCTTTTATTTTTCTCTAGATAAGAAACCAGTGAAAGCTAAGGGCTGCTGTTTTCCAAGGAGTGCCTCGAGTCTAACAAGGGGGCCCTTGAATCTAAAAAGGCTGAGAACCCCTGCTCTAAATACACAAAAACAGATCAAGGGAAGGAAGAAAGGATGTGCTATTCACCCCTTCTGCAGATGGGGAACTGAAGCAGAGACTTGAAGGCTTTGATCTTATCAGGTGCTGAGTTTGGTGGTCCCAATCCAGAGACACATTAAAGAACAAGCTTTTCTCTTTTGGGGCCAGAAGGCTCAACACCTCTGCAGAATCAAATCCCACTTGGCAAGCCCAAGGATACAGTGGGCCAGCTGGGAACTGAACCAGCATCTCCAGATGCCTGAGCCTTAGGCACAAGACTGCTCTTTCCTGCTTTGCTCTGTTTGTGATCCAAGGGAAATCCAGAAACGCATGTCTGAGATCTGTAAAAGCCAAAAGCAAAGGGGAAAGCGATTGTCAGGAGGACTTTCACCTGGGTCCTAACACATGAGGGCTGTTAGCAAAGCTTTTATTCTTTTTGCGATTCACCTTTGGAGCAAAAGGTCCCACAATGTAGAGGGTTGAGAGAAGGGGCTCATCTCAGGAATGGAGGTTTCCAGAAGCTGATAGCGCAGCTGGGGAAACCCTCCTCTGAATGCCCAATAGGAAATGTCAGTTCCACATTCCCGTACTACTGGAACTCAGCTTGAGTTAAGCTAGGTCAGGAGACCAAGCAGATGGTAAGCTCCCACAAACAGCCTTCCTGCACTCAGGCAACCCCTCAGGCTGCCCCGAAAGTGCACACAGAGCCCATACCTCTGGGATGTGATGGCTGAGGCAGTAGCGTTTGTTACAATGCAGGCAAAGCTGTCCCAAGGTGGTAACGCTGGCTTTACACCGGGGGAAACCACAGGTGTTGTCGGCTTTAACCACAGCAGAAATCAAGGTGTCGATGTCTTCTTCAGCTGTAGTGTTGTCTGCTTTTGTGGCACTCTTACCTGGAAGACGAAGGGAAAAAAACTAAGTTTAACTTAGTGGTGCTCAATCTTTTTTCCTTGACAGGCCAGATGGGTAGTTCTTGGTCCGTCCATGGGCTGGATGCGGCCGTTGGCCCAAATCTGGTGCCTGGGATGGGTGTGGTGGGATCCAATCTGGTGGGTACCTCCTCTGCCCTGTGCTGTGCATTTGTCCGCTATGTATCACTGATCCCCCCTCCGTAGCACCCAAGCCACCTCCTGCCACCCCCAGCCCTGTCTGTTATGGGCTGAGGGCTGTTCTTTCACCCCACTACTGCAGCCCCCATGCTGCTGGCCACAAGAATCAGCAGCACTTGGTGGTGAAGGTAAGCAGAGGCTGCAGTGGGAGGCAGGGACTCTGTACTCTCAGTACAGAGCCATGTAACAAACCGTGGCTCGCCATTTGTAAAAGGCTGCCAGACCCTGAAATTTGGGGTCAAAGAATGAAGCCAACAGACAAAGGGTTCCAAGCTCTGCTGATATCAAAGGGCAGACCTCTGCTGAGATTTCAGGGGGAAATGGGGTCAGCTACTTACACTCCGCTCACCAGCTAGGATCAGCCACAACAGAGGGTGAGGGTGAAGTCTCCCTCAGTTCTAGCTTCTTGCCAACATTTTTTCAAATATGTTTTAGTACCCCTTGCAGCAGAGGGATGCTGACAGTGCCCTCATTCCCTGCTTTGTCTGTTCCAGGTTAGGATGTCCCTGGTGTTTTGGGGAATGTGTCTTATAACTGTGTGACAAGATTGTTTGCATGGTTGTAGGAGGAACAGGTTAGACAAGCACTTTGTATAGAATGGCTTGGATAGAGACAATCCTGCATTGAGCAGGAGGGTGGACTAGATGACCTCCTGAGGACCCTTCTGGCCCTACTTTCTATGAATTCCCAATATGTGAACATTTGCCCCAGGCATAAAGAAAGGGATTTTATGCAGCTTTGCACAATAAACACGCTCAGGCCCCAGTTGTCTCCCCCAGTCATCTACCAGCACCTTCTCTGGAGATAAGCAACAGTGATCATATCCTGTATTGCAAAGACATACACAAAGCTCATCCCCCAAGTAGAACACTGGAGAGTTGATGACCAGGAAGTGCCATGTCCCTTTACCTTAGACAGGACAATCAGTGCTACTGAGTCCCTTGTCACAAGGAATCTTTTTTCAGGCCCTATACAGATAGGGCCTGATCTTGATGGGCAGAGGCAGAGACCCAAGCTGTACCTCTCAATGTACAGGACACAGAGGCTTCCCTTAACTGCAATCTGATGATGGGATTTTTAAAGCAGCCCAGAGGAGTGAGGCACTCACAGAATTTAAATGGGAGTGGGGCATCTAATTATTTTAGGCAGTTGTGAAACAATCTTCGAGAGGTATGATAAAAGACCACCACCAACATGACAGGCTTTTCCTATAGAAATACTGAAGCTTCCTGTAGATAGGGCTGGGCAAATCTTAAGTGAGAGTGAAGAGGAAGAAGTCAGGATGGAGCCTACCTTTGGCTTCATTTTTGTGCTTCTTTCCTGCTGTCTCTACGAGATTCACACTTGACTCCTGGGTTCTTCTCGCCCTCTCTTCCCACTTGGCTTTTTCCTGTTGCATCCTCTCCAGGTGCAGCATTTTCAGATCGACTTTCCCTGAGCTCATGCTGCTCCCTCCTGTCTGACCAGGGCTGGGGGCTTCTCTTGGGGTCCTTTCTGACTCAGAAGATGGAGCCTGCTCATTGGCTTTGTTAGTCACTGTAGCAGAGACAGTGGCAGGGGGTCTCTTGCGGATGCTGAGGTACCGCTGTCTCCCTTCGCCAGTGCTGACATGCTGTAGCCCATATTCTTCAGCCATTTGGTGGAGCAGCATCCTGTCGTGAGAATTTAAAGAAGGAGGGAAATCCAGCTGGGCCTTGCTGCTCTCCAGGAAATCCACTAGCATGGCTTTGAACTTGGCTGAATTGTCCTTTACCTCCATCCTCTCCTTCCCAGTGCCATTCATACTCTCTGCAGGACCTATGCTTGGCTTTGGGAGAATGGGTTTTCCTGGAGCTGGTTTGGCTTTCTGGCCATGGGGCTGAAGTTTTGGAGTGGACAATGGAACAGTTTTGGGTCCCTCCCCTTGCTCGGGGTGACCCTGAGAGTTCTCATGAGAGTAGTTTTCTGGCACAATGTCATCAAGGTACTCGAAGGCTGTCCGCACTTCCCCATGCTCACTGAGGTAATCCATTAATCGCTTCAGAAAGACCTGGTTGCTGACGGTTCGAGAGTCACAGACAACTGCCACGTGGCGTCGCGCACGGGTGACGGCCACGTTTATTCTCCGATCTTCGGCGAGAAAGCCCACCTCCCCTGCAAAACACAAAAGAGAGCCAAAGACCATCAGAGACAGCACTACTGTGCTGAACCAAAGAGTCCAAGCTACAGGCCAGAACCTCAGATGATGTAAATCAGTTCAGCTCACTGGAACTACAGTCAATTGCTACAGCTGCGGATTTGGCCTCAGATAATGTATTGGCTAGGGAATGAGGTAACAGAGAAAAGTGCTACTGTCACCTGCACATAGGACTAGGAGTTACCAACTCCCATGTTCCAGCTCTGGTTCTATGGCTAATTCACACTATAACCTCAGTCCAGTCCTTTCCCTTCTCTGCTTCAGTTTCAGAAACTGCAAAATGTGGTGAATAGGTTTATTGAGAGGACAAGAGTGCAGACAGAAGTTGAAAATAAGATGCATTATAAAAGGGCTACCACCTGGAGGCATATCTATATTCCCCCAGTGCAGCCAGGGTGAAAATACAGGGAGGAGGGACGTGGTGGGATGTCATTTCCTCAGACAGTCGCACATGCCTAGGCTTGGCAGGATTCAATTTTTATTGGTAAACATTGATAAACGTTGTTTTCACCTTACAGTCATAGACTGACAAAAAAAAAATTCCATCGTTAATAATAGAAATTTACAGAAAGGGGACATAAGAAAAGGGATGGCTGATGGAGTGTGTGCCAACAGGGGGAGCAGTCCTACAGAACCTTTAGCTTGAACTGCAATTCCCAGGAACCCCAGGGGACTGGGAACAAAGGAAGAAGAAGTAACAAAGCAGATGAGGGAGCTACAGGTGAGCAGACCCAGAACTGACAGCAGCTCTGCCACTAATTGGTTGGCAGTACTACAGTAGTTATGATTCAATTTAAATCAATAAAAATTGAAACAAAGGCTTAAAAATAAATAAATAGGTATTATCCATCAAAATTATTAAAAAATATAAATCAAATTCTGCCAAGTCTACACATGGGGCTCACTCCACCAGCAGGAGGAGGTGCCACATACAGAAAGGTCCGTTTCAAGACTTTGTCCTACATTTGTAAAAACCTATCTAGGACCTACAAGGTGGTCCTAGAAGTGCCACAGTGGGACTGTAGAGAGCACAGAGATGCTGGAACTGCTCTACACTCACTACCTCCCCAACCAGCTGCAGTGCAGCTCTGGGCACATGCCTAGCACCCCATCATGCCAGCTACACTCCTTCCACTGGGGAAGTAATATCTAGGGAGGTGTGTAGCATCAGGGCAACACTCCCTACTACAGGGGCGAGCAATTATTTTGGGCAAAGGGCCACTTGCTGAGTTTTGGCAAGCTATCAAGGGCTGCATGACAGGCAGCCAGGGGCAGATAAATATTAATTTTCTAATTTTTATAGGGGCCCTGCAGGCTGGATAGAATGCTCAGGCGGGCCACATCCGGTCCGTGGGCCGCATTTTGCTCACCCCTGCCCTACTACCATACTGGGGCAGGCTTATGATGGGAGTGCTCAGGAGTGGAACATCACATGGCCCCAGGCCAGGGCTCAGGTGAAGTGGCTGAACCCTGGAGACAGCTGTCAGCCACAGAAGTGGGAACTGCAACTCCAGATACCAGCATTCAGGGACGGATGAAGCTCTCCCAGCAGCTGAGCAGCCTGAGCCAATAGGTACTAGACCAAGTTTCTCAAGCAGAGAAACATCTCCATCCCAACCTACCAACAATCCCAATCTGAGTGTAGGCCAAGGGTTAAAAATAACCACCATGTAGGCAATCTGACAGGGTCTATTTCTGCTTTCTAGCTATTTTCTCAAGGAAGAATAATAACAGATAGCAAATGCCAAATGACTCAGCTCAGCGAGAGAAAAGGCTTGTGTGGGCGGGTAGTGAGTTTCCAGCTTCTGGGGCTAAATAAGAGATAATTGGAAAAATAAACAGTTAAAAGAAATCCAGGTGACAAGCTTCATCCAGCTTGTCCCAAAACAGTGATACAGAAGAGTTCAGACAGGGTCAGATGTGAATGAGTAAGCATGTGTGATCTCTCTGTGGTCTTGGAGCCTGGGGTTAATTCCCAATTCACAGAATCTGGTAGAATGTAATGAGAGTCCAATCTGATCTCTCCTAACCACTGGGAAAACTCTACTGATTGAAGTCCACAATGGTACCAGTTGGTTTGCCAGTTGGATCTGAATGCATTTTTAGGATTTATAAAAGCAAGGGGCCACAGAACTGGGTGGAACCTCTGGAGTTTGGCTGGCCTTTGGTCTCTCTTGTGCAGATAAAAAGGTCTGTAATATAAAGAAGTAGGGCAAGTCTTGGTTCAATTAAACATGGTTACCCATTGTGATGCAACTCTGCTTAGATTGCCAACAAGGCTGTCAATGGGGGAGGAGTGGATGGGGAATTTGGGGATGCAGACGCCTATCCTGAGAGCACCACTCATCTTGTGTCAACCACTGAACAGATGTCAGAAGGCAGTGAGTCACCAGTTATTAATGGCTTTCAATCACTGTGCTATTCTTATTACCCAAGTCCCACCTTCCCTTCATCAAACTCTTTGTAAAGCTCACTTCTTATGTGAACTCTTCCCAATTTCTCCTCCTCGCTGCTAATATTCCCAAACCATTGTGTGCGGTGTCGTCTTTTGTCATCTTAGCTTGCATATCTCATATGGCAAGTGACAGGTGCTGTTCTGTGTTTGAAAGGTGTGATGTACATTTACAGTGCTGTAGAAACTCAGAAAGATGCTCCTTCTGGTTCTACATGTGCCCTCCACTTGGTTTGGATAACACAAAACCTGAACCTTCCAATGCCTCCAAAACAGTAAAATACTTTATGATGAGCCTTCATTATGTGGATCAGCAGAAAGAGTCTGAGAAATCTCTGGCCTCAGGAAATTAACTTCATTCCAGCTGTTATTTCCCTCTGTGTTCAGTGATAGAAAAAACCATGATTTTTCTGCCCTAGAATTTGTTCTGAAAATGACCATTTTTATGCATTACTTATAGGACTTGCTTTGGTTTACATTTTCTCTGGGGATGTATCCCCAGAGAACTCCTTGCTCTGAACTATGCATTATGAACTCCTTGCTCTGTGGGGAATGCTTGGGACTTCCACTGGGGGGGAAGATGCTGCTGGTGTAAGTGCAACGGTACCAATCCCCCAAGCTCAGCATTTGTGAGGGCTTGAAGATGACCAACTTTTAAAAACAGTGCCAATTCTTTCTATTGGCCTTCTGGCATTTGAAGCTTCAGCATTCATGTTTTCAAGCTTTTTCTCTGAAATTGAGAGGCCAACTAACCTACTTCTTTTAACTTAATTGAAAGCTGAGATACTCATATCATTACATGACTCCAATAAAATCACCCATGTTGAATGTTGGGAACACCCTGAGTGACATTTTACTTTGTTAAATGATTCCCCTTTCCTTACATGCCAAAACATCCTATTTCTCCAAAACTCTGTCTCACTAGAAATACATACCCTTCCTGTTGGATCTCACAAAGGACAGTATGACAGCCTCCTTTTCCCTTCCCTGGAAACCATCAACTGATTTAATTTCTAGCTCTGGATACTTGTGACACAGGTGCTCTCTTAGCATGTCTACCTGAAAAACAAGGGCAAGCATGTTATTAAGGTCAATTTCAAGATAGAAAAGAGTTTAAATGATATCTTCCTAAAAGACTACCTTCCCCTTAAATTCCTGTATGTCACAGGACACACACTGACTGAGAAAGGAAGGATGATCACCCCATGGATTGATTATAAAGAGTGCCCGAGCTCCAAGACTCTAAAACACGATGGTGGTTAAGGAAATGGAGAGGATTAATTATTGCCCCCTGAAGATCTCGCATCTGAGATAGATTTGCTGTTGTGTATTCACCCTACGCTCGGCTTAAGATGCCACGTCGGAGGGAGCTGAGATCTCACCTGAAGGTTGTAAGGAGCAATGACAGCGATGTCTTTTGCTTTAACACCAGCGTTCACCAATGCTTGGACATGCAAGCCAACAAGGCGCACCTCCCCTAGGGTGAAAACAAAGTCAGCTGTGAATCAAGGGAAGGTGATTTCTGTCCAGAGAAGGCTGACAGGTAAAAGCCAAAAGATAAAAGGAAGTCAAACAAGAAAAGCCGTATTTTCCATGCTGACTAAACTGGGGTCTTAAAGGGACACTCTGGATTTTGGGCATTTTCCCTCAAGTGAGATTTATAAGTAATGACACTACAGTGGACAGGAAACTCCAAGGTGTACTGAAAATGTCAGCCAAAAGGACATGCACATATTAAAACCAAGCTTTCCGGCTGCATAAATGGGCTAGCGCCATATTTAAATGTTAGAACAATTTAACAAGTCATGGATAATATATGCCCCTTGTCTGAGGTCCAGGGTTTATTATATTAACCCCAAACTAGTGCTTGGACATAGCTAAATGCTTTGTACAGCCAGAAAGCTCAGAATCCCCAGCTTCTAATGCTGGGCAGCATTTATTTCTAGATTTTCCAGCTCAGTAGCTATCTAACCATTAAAACTAATGATCACAGGATTTGGAATGTCATTTTGTTTTTCCTTGTCCTTCCACTCAATTCAAGACACAATCTTAAATGTTAGTGCTTTAGGTCCAACTAGAAGCAGGCCCTTGTGTATCTCATCACTGTTAAATTGGCTACAACATCTGCTTCTCTCCTCACCGTGACCTAGAATTTCAACTTCTGTTAAAAAAAGAAAAACAAAACCAAACCTCAAAGAATACTTCTAGCAGTCTGTTTCCCAAAGCTAATCCATGAGCTACATGGAATAAGTGCAGTATTTTCTTCCTGAGACTGTAGGCAGCCTGAAACAATAGCCTTGAGAAGAGAAAAATCACCCCATTCAGGTCAATTGCTTGTTGCCTTTGAAACCTCAAGATGCCAGTATAGGAACACTATTTCAATGCCCCACACAGGCCCTCTCAAGCATGCTGGAGACCAAGGACCTAAAACTAGCACCAGGAAACGCAATGCAGTTGCAGGCTGGGAGCCTGAAATCTTGATTTTCAATATATCAAAGTTTTAATTTGTTCTAGAAGTTTGCCAGATCCTGCAACAGCTTACACACATTTTTCACATCAGCTGCTGCACATGTGTGTAACTGCTTGCAGGATCAGAGAGAGAGAGGGATGTGACAGGAGGAGAAAAGTGGAGAGGCCACAGCCCAGTCATTGGGGTCCCCTAATCTAGAAGACTCTGGTTCAATGCCCCTGGATGCTATGGACTCCAGTTAGCTCTCTCCCTACCTCCAAAATGGGGAAAAAGCACCTCCTCACCTCGCAGGAGTGCTTTAAGGATGACTGCATTCAGGATTGTGAGGCACTTACCTACTGAAGGAATGGGGGCCCTATCAGGAGGTGTCAGCTGAAAGATAAAAATCAGCTAAGCTGGTAACAGTTGATGTTTTTGAGGTCTAGTATCTCCCAACCTTGGCGGAGAACCACTCCAGGACTCAGAGAGTATTTCCAAGCATTGGATCTGCACTGGTGAGCAGAAGGAAAACGAAATTCATCCCTGAAGTAAGCAGTCTAGTTGCTGAGTAGGCTGTGTTACCATGTGGAAGATGCCAGGTAGAAAGGAAATCCAGGGAGACTTGTGGGGGTGATAGTGGGTGCATGGCAAGGAATCCACAGCATTGCTGGTCTCAGAGGAGAGACTGAAGGCCAACCAATTGCAGCATACCCTCTACTAACCAATAATAAAGGTAATTTTGGTCTCAAACAGTTTAAAATCTATTAGAGGATGCATTGTTATATTGACAGCCATAAAAGCATGTGATGTGAGAGGAAAGATCCCGGCTTTTGGTCTCTAGCTGGTTACTGTGCTCAGGTATCTTCACCCTAATACTATGAAGAAAAAGCTGGGAAGAGGAAGCCCCCCCACATACAACGGTGCTCCCTTCTAGCCTCTCCTCCCTATTATTTATGCACCTTCTCAGCTTATCAAAAGAATCTGACTGTCTTAATGTTCGTGGTCTGATGAGTCCCACTGCACACAGGCAGGCATGAAATTCACAACCAGTATAATGCAGAGGGGTAACATTTCACAATCATTGCAAAACTAATTTGCAAACCTCCCTAGTGCTGTGGTCATTCTCCCTGCTTAGAGCTTGCCCACATCACTGTGGTGAGGTACTTGCCATCTCCCTAACCGCAGAGCTTTAGACACCTAATGTGTTACAGTAAAGAGCTGATTAAGAACCCCTGAGGCAACTGCCGTGACAACCCTTTCAACTAACAAGCAACACAAGGCATATAGAAGTTTGCTGTCTGAGATCTTCCATACTGAAAACTTGCCGTGTTGCCCGTTGCTGCCGGGCGTGTGTTATAGTCTGCATGGTATTACGCTTCCATTATCTGAGCTGAGAGGCAGAAGCCTCCTTCAGCTCTAAAGGAAAGTAGCTGGTTGATCCAACATGGTCCCAATCCTTAGCATTGCCACCCCACAACACCTGTGCGTGTCAAACCCTGGGCCAGCAGCACTGATCGACAGGGCACAGGGAAAGTGCTCACTCTTCCTGCTTCCAAATTCTTGCCATCTGACTGATCTACAGAGCTACGCTGGCACCACAGCTACAGCTGTCCCTTCAAGGGCTGCACTCATTGCAAATGCTGTAATCGAGAATGAGAAAATTGATTCAGATTATAGTTACTTTTTGGCTGTCAGGGCTGTGCGAGGCTTTGGGTGCTGATTCTATTTGGAGGAGATCCAGCCCGATTCAGCAGCTGAATCTCTGAATCTAAATCGAATCAGGAGACCAATAAAAAGGTCCAAATTGATTCAAAGCTCTCCGAATCAATTTGGAAAAGATTCAGAGAGCTTCAGAGATTTGGGCAGTCCCCACTCGCCGCCACAGGGACTTGGACCTGGACTCTGTGCCAGTAAGTGGGGGGAGGGGGGGACGACGACAGCGACACACACACACATGACCACCCTGCCCCAGCCCACCTAAGCGCCCCCTGC